AGGTGGCGTGCACGTGCAGCACAAGGCCCTGCCCCACCCCGCCCCGCCCCTCCCCGCCAGGGCGTTCCTAACGAGCGTGAGGCTTGGTCACCATACCTCCGATACCCATCGCGAGATGGGCTCGTCGTGCGATGACGCAAGAGTGCACTGTAAAATTCAAAAATGCATTATCAGCGTCGCTTGTCTCCATGCTATAGTACGCGCCTCAGGGTGTTGTCGGGAAGGAGGAGGGGGGGGGGGCAGAGGCAGGGCCCAACGCAGTACATCACCCGCCCCACCTCTGCAGCCTGCTCAGCTCCCTGCCCATCCCATGTCTTGGCGGGCCCAGGCGGGGCGGGGAACCCTCCACCCATCCCCGTGCCCCCTCCCCCTCGTCCGACCCATCCCAGCCGTCCCAGACAGCGTGGCACCAGTCGCCCCGGCTAGCGCTGCCAAAGCCCGCCACAGCCCCCGGGACGCGTTTCGCACCGGCTCTCGCGCGCGAGGTGGGGCTTTCCAAGAGTTTCGCCTCGAGGTCATTTCAATGACACCTGAATGACGCCCAGCAGAGGGATTTGAAGATAATTCTTTCTCGAGTTTATCCGTACGTTTCTGTTTCTGGGATAGGGATCATCGCTTCCGAGTCGAGCACGAACACCCCCTTTTCGCTGTATTTGAGGACTTGCTGGACAAAGCGACGGAGTGCAGTGACGGCAAGTCTAGGCCCACCGGCAGCCCGCCCTGGCCCAGCCCACCCTCCACCGCGTCCGGCAGTCAGTCACAGAGGTGGCGGGGCGTAGCACGTCCGGGAAGGGGCCTCCTCGGGTGAAATACGAGCTAGGTGGCTTCATGGACGCTACGCCCAACATGTGAGGCGTTGCTGAGTGACAGACGACCCATAAAATCGTCCCAAGTCCGCGCAAAGCACCGAATTCTTGGGGCCAGCTTGCCGGCCGGCCCAGGCGGAGCGCGACTGCGGGCTGCGACCGCCCGTGCTGATCCTGGATGCCGCTGTGTGTGCGCGTGGTGGACTCACCCTTGCACTTGCCGGGGTGCGACTTCTCCACGCTGCGGCCCTCGCACTGCACGCGCTTGAGGTGGCAGTCGTTGTCGTAGGTGGTGTTGTCCGAGCCGCACACGGGCCGTCCGGGCCGCCCCCCGGACACGGGGCCCGGCCCGACGCGGCCCGCCTGGAGCGCGAGGTCGGTCTCGCACCGGGACTGCTCCGCCTGACAGCTCTCGGTCTGCAACAAGATAAAACCATTGGCGCTCGCGCACACGGCACGGTGACCGTCGCGGGGCGTATGGGCTCGCCGCGCCGCGCCGCGCTGCGCCCCGCCCAGGTGTTCGCCGATCGCGTTGGGGTCGCGAACCGTTAGGACCCGCGGCGGTCCGCGCCTGCTGGGCCTGGCGGCGGCGGCGGCGGCCGCTGCGGCCTGGAATGCGCTTGGGCCCCCGCGGCTTACCCCCCCCCCCTCCCCCGCACTTGGACCAGGGCTTCTTGGACTGTACTGGTTTATTAAGCTTATCAGGCGCGTCCCTGCGGCGCTACGCGCGCGCCGCCGCGGCCTGCTCCGGTGTGCGTTACGGCCTCGGCAAACAGGCGCGTACGCGGCCGGGGCCTCGGGCCGGGGCCTCGGCGGGGGGTTTATTTTATGATAAACGGAGTAAACAAGCCCCGCCTACGTCACGCCGTGGCCCGGCGGCGCGCGCGTCCCGCGGGACCTTCTGGAGGCAGGGCTGCTTGCGTGGAAAGCGTTTACTTTTCTGCTCATTGAATTTGCAATAAACTACAATTATTGCGGCTTCCGCGTCGACATACTATGCGCGACCATTATTCATGAATTAATAAGGAGTGTGGCGTTTGACGTTACGAAAAACTTGATTCCCCGTGGATTTGCAATAACCCGACGGTCACTCTTTGCCCGGCGCCTCCCGGAGTGACTCACGAGCAGCGAGGCGTCACCGTCGGAAAAAGACGCAGCTCCTGTCATTATCTGACACATACGTGTGTGACGTGAACGTCTGCTGCACTTCTGAGAGGGGCGCGGCGCTGCGCTCCGAGGCAGCCTGCCGGGCGGGCAGCCACGCCGAGCACGCGAGTGCGGCGGGCGGCCCGCCCACCCGGTTGCCTACCCGCCGGGCTGACGCGCGCGCTCTCTCCCCTGCAGGATGATACATAAAGCGGCCCCGTTCGCCCTGCTCGCCGGTTGTACGCTACTTCCGCACTCCAGGGCAACGCGAGGTCCTCCTGCTGTGTACACTCGTGGTGCAAGCGTATGGGAAGCGCGGCGATATGGCGCGCGCTCGCGGTGACTCAGAGACTGGCGCCGCTCGCGGCGGTTATAGGTTTGGGCAAAAGTCTCATTGTGGTGTAATCTTGCGCAAGCGATTAACGAAGGCGCGTGTACGCACCACTGGTACGCACGCCCCCCGGGGCGCCCCCGGGAGGGACAGCGGGGGTGCTTCGGGCTCCATACTACTCACCAGGTTCGTCGCGGAGTCCGTGGAGGAGGGCGGCAGCGTCGTGGGCTCCCCCTGGTCCAGGGCGGCGCCCAGGGTGGGATGCGCCCCGAGCAGGAGCACCGACATCACGGCGGCCAGCACGGCGGCCAGCTGAGGACGCGTCGCCGGCATCCTGGTGGTGGCGGGCGGCGGCGGTGTGGGGGCGGTGGTGCGGGTAGAGATGTAACGTGGGGCCGGTGTCAGCAGACTGCGGGCATGGCACTGCACGCACCCCTGTGGACAGGACGGCACAGGTCGGCTCCTTGAGATACATACACTGGCGAGCTGCGGCGGTGGGTGGGTGCG